TTCTCATTAATATAAAATAGATTTGTCAACTGCTATAATGTTGCTGTTTTATAAATTAATAATTTATAGTTGTTCACCTGTTTTTTTCACCAAAATTATATAAGCTATGATTTTTCCTCTTTTGAAAAGTAAATGTTTTGCCATTGATTTAACAATTCTTTCTAAACTTGGTGCACGATACATGTATACATCTGATCTTAATTATTTATGTAACTATACCATACAGGGATAGCATCAAATAAACATTGAATAAGAGCAAAACAGAGTATACGTCTTACTTTTAAATCCATACAACTTTTATATCTGTACACAAATTTCAGACGAGAGTTCTGATTCTACTAAAGATGAAAATGAAATTGCTCTAGACAACTCTATGCTTAAATAATGCACAGATTTTTTTATCTTGATTACTTGATTAAACGTATCATTGATATAACTTGTAAATAGAATTGGGCCTAAAATGCTGCCCTGAGGAACACCGCATGTTATAGGCATTATTTGAGCGTCGAAATCGGCTGCCTAGCATAGCCGGGTAATGTTGGAGCGCCTTGAGGATCTTGCAAGGTCGATACGTGCGCTATATAAGAATCCAATATTATTTATTTATTTATTATTATTTTGAAACGAATATCACGAATGGCCACTACTTAGTGTCGATTAGACAAGTAGGATCTGAACCACTATAAACTTGCCTCATTAAAACCCATTAGTTGTAACTTATTCAACAGCAGATAGTTGAAGATTGAAAGTCTCTTCTGTATTTTTTTCATGGATCTGATATCATTAGTCCTGTGATGACCTATAGCCAGTCTAATATTTTGTAAAAGAATGGTTGCTAATAACTAGATGGATGACACCACTTTGACTTATTTTGTTTTCTTTGCTACAATCGACATGATCCAGTAGAGAAGAACACGTAGGTGCAACTCATGTTGCCTCTTTAATGAGTTGACTAAACCCGTGCAGACTCAACAAGTCAATATATTTTTTAGCCAATGGCGATTTGTGAAGAAGACAAAATGATATTCATGTCTCCTAAAAGAATAATTTCGTCATCCTTCTTTAATGTATCAAGAATATTGGCCAATTTCTCGATAAACAAATTGTTTTCGGAGGTCGATACAAAACTCCAACAACCATTGGTTTTGATCTGGGTATAAGCAAATTAATTCACAGGGACTTCGTATCTCCAGTACTTATAGCATCAATAATATTAAATGCAATATCATTTCTGATATAGAAACATACACCACCTCCAGAGCCAGAGGATCGATCATGGCGTATGATTTTATATCCGTCTGTTTCAATTTATTCATAATGTTGACTTTGATGATTTCGCAAAAATGAGTAATTTCGAGGAAGTTCAATTTTCTGTTTTCACTTCACAGTTGCATTTTCTCAGTTTATAGAAATGAAACTGACCGAAAGACAAAATTGTATTTATATATTTCATCCAGAGCTGATATTCTTTCAGTCAGGTGGCGCTATACATAGCTGCGCTGCTGTGGCCATCACAAGTTTGTGTCATCCTTCTCTTTCTACTGTTGCTCTGCCTCTTATTCGTCTGGCTTCCACTGACTGTCCCTGTAATAAGTGACTTTTCGAGACCATCTCTCTGTACCTCATATCCCAAAAAACTGCAGTTTATTTTTGGCAATACACTTTCGGAGCGACATCTCTGTACCCAGCTTGTCTAGTACACATCGGTTTATTCTTATGTCAGTCAAGTGAACCCTTGCCGATGCACCCACATTCCAAACGCATGTACTTTCTTGTAACCCCCTCTAGTCGTGGCCAGGCGCGGATCTAGGATTTCTTAGGGGGGGGGGCCAAATTTGAAATTATGCGAGGCAAATATTGGTACGTAATGGTGACACTGGCAGGACACAAATTGGTGTTGGGTCCAGGGGACGGAGTCCTCAGAAGCTCAGGGGTTTTATACATTAAATTATCGTCAGATGAGCATATTTTTATACCTTATTTGTGACACTAGCAGGTCACGAATTGGCGTGGGGTCCAGAGGTAGAACCCCGGGAGCTCAGGGGTTTTATACATTAAATTATCGTCAGATGAGCATATTTTTATACCTTATTTGTGACACTTGCAGATCACGAATTGGCGTGGGGTTCAAAGGGCAGAACCCCCGGAAGCTCAGGGGTTTAATAAATTCAATTTTCGTCAGATGAGCATATTTTTATACCTTATTTGTGGCACTGGTAGGTCACTAATTTGTGTGGGGTTCAGGGGAAGAACCCCCGGAAGCTCAGGGGATTCGGGCAATAAATTACGGTCAGATGAACGTATTTTGATACCTTATTTGTGGCACTGGTAGGTCACTAATTTGTGTGGGGTCCAGGGGAAGAACACCCGGAAGCTCAGGGGATTCGGGCAATAAATTACGGTCAGATGAACGTATTTTGATACCTTATTTGTGGCACTGGTAGGTCACTAATTTGTGTGGTGTCCAGGGGCGGAGTCCCTAGGAGCTCAGGGGTTTTAGGCATTAAATTACCGTCAGATGAGCATTCAGGTGCCTGACTTTGGGCCCTAGCTGAAATCCAGGGGGCAGAGCCCCCGGAAGCTCAGAGGTTCTAAGGCATTTTAAACACGGTCGGATCGATGAGCAACTTTTTTTTTTTTTTTTTTTTCCCCGGATATTGGAAAATCACGTCGTCAGATATACTACTGTTTATACTACCGTGACAGTGGAGTATCCAAATTTAATTATTTGTTCTATATAACTATGTAAATTCTCCTGCTGTCTATTCAGGGGCGTCACTAGAGGGGGTGTAACATTCTCCCATTTTTTGTCAGAAAATGTATCCCCTCCGTCGACAAAAAATAAATAAAGACAAAAGGAGGAAAGAGAAAGAAGAAAAGAGAAAATGAGAAGGGAGATGAAGAAAATAGAAAGGAAAGGGAAAGGGAAGTGACAAGAAAAGGAGAAGGAAAAGGAAAGGAAATAAGGAAATAAAAAAATCCAAGAAAGAAAGAAAAGAGAGGACGCAGGGAGAAAGAAAATGGAAGAAAAAGAGGAAAAGGCCGGTATGATATGAGAGAGATAGAAGAACGAAAACAGAAAAGAAAAAATGTGAAAAAGAAGAAAATAGAAAGCACAGGATGGAGTAGGTAATGATTCAGAGGGAGGAATAGTAAAATATGAGAAAGAGAAATGAGGATGACGAGGAACAAGGCCGCCCAAGTGAAATTACAACAAACAAAGTGTTACCCCAAGACTCGGATTGCACCGTATACTGGCGTACTAGTAGGGGTGCTTGAAGATGCTGCCCCCCCCCCCAACAAACAACAACTTAAGTTATTTGTCAAGAAAAACAAAATAAAAAGGAAAGGAAAGACGGGGAAAATAAGAAGTAAAGAAAACAAGAAAAAAGGAAAATTTTAAAAATATATATAATCTGCCATTTCAAATCATTGTGTAATGATTCCATTTAATCCATTTGTAGGACCTATAGCCATGCAAACTGATGGTATGCATGACACATATTTCGTACCTTGGGGTTTATTAAGTATTTAAGAAATAAAGTTGGTACGCTCTATAAAGTTAGTATAAATAAAAATTGTAATTTTTATGATTACAGGCGAACGTCTTTAAAAAGTTTTAAAAAGCTGAATTTTCTTAGTATTTCCCCTCCAGGAGACCTTCGTCTCATAAACCTACAGCCCCCCTTTTATAAGCTTATAAAATATCATGAAAAATTCTTTCAACACAGCGGGAAGACATATATGATATTTTTGTCACAAATTTCATATGGTAAAAAAAAATTACAGGTGGATATAGTGCGCCCAATACCCATATGAATTCCCCATTTGTTGACAGATACTAAACAAAGCTGATTTTTTTTTCTTCTTTCTAACTTATTGATTGAATTATTCAATTTACTATTAACGTTTTCTCCAAATGCAACAAAATAACCACAATAAAATCACAAAAATGTTGTGATTGTTTGGTGATTTTGTGATAAGGTTGATTTTTTTTTTCTTCACCAAGGCTACTTTTAAAATTAAAATTAAAAATCACGAAATGTTCGATTTTAGGTGACTGACATCACCACCTGACAACACTGGCTACCGATTCATCAAACCAGCTCAATTAAAGTCAATCTTGGCGAGGGAAAGTGACCTACATCAGGGGCGGCGGAGCGTACGTCTTTCAAAGTGGGGAGGCACAAACAAAAGGCACTTTCTGGAAGAAGAAAAAAGGGGCACCTACAAAGGGAAATCTCAAAGCGAAAATATACAATTTTAGAATATTGGTATATACCCCTACATTGTGATTACGTTATCAGGGATGATTTCAATGTTTGTTTCTCTCTTAACAGGATCCAATATAGGCTACTGCTAAGAATCATACTCTGCAGTCGGGTGTGATGGTCTGAATATTTATTTGCGAGCGAGCAATAGATCATGATTTGTGAAATCCCAGTGCCAAAAATTACATCTTATAAAGAGGAAAAAACAATCCTGATGGGGTTTTTAAAAGCACAATAAGAGGACACATTTTTTTTTTTTTTTGGTCTCGAAATTTGAAAATTTGACATTTTGCTCCGTTGAGGGGGGGGGGGTAAGGTCAGCTGTTTTAGGTCAACCATGAGAATTTTTTTTTTTTTCCTTTTTTTTTATAAAAAAAAAAAAAAAAAAAAAAATCCAAAAGGGGGGGGGGGGGGTTTAGAGAAATTTAGGGGGGGTTTACGCGCCTGACTGTATGTTTTATGTTTCGGTAAATCCATGTCTTGGGCCATATGTGCTCTGTGATATGTCTCTGTATAATTACTATCCATTTGTACCACTGTCTATTTTTATTATGAAAATTACGTAATATCTTCAGCGTAATCATGTAACGAAGGCACAGGTCATGAACAGTTTCATAAGAGACGTTCGCTGATGCTACCGTTGTTATCGAGTTTTCATACTCTAAACGTGCATTGTCACAGTATATTGAAGAGCAGCGAACGTGCATGCATGTACGTTACCGGTGATCTAGATTGATTGCTCTTTCATAACAAAGTGCACAGACTCGACCTGAGCTGTGAGAATCGAATCTACTGGTGATTTATAAGTAAGTCAACGACAATGGCGTCGCAACTTGGAGTGAGATTGTGGTCGGCTGCGAAGAAAATCGACATTTTTCTAGATTTGTAAGTAGACCTAAAGCATTTTTTTTTTCATACCAAGAAATAGAATAAATCCTAGACTTTTTGTATTTCATTCAGAAGAGACGTCCGCATATGATTTGCCATTTGACTTCATTGTCGTCTGAGGCAACTGAGCTGTGCTGCATGCTGAAGCTGAATTGAAGAGAGTGAAGGGGGGGGGGGGGGGGGCTTTTGAAGTATTATTAGAGAGTAGACTACGGGTACATGTTGATTATGTCTGAGCGCCTAACATTTTACTTGAAACTGAAACAAATTGTATTTAGTCTAATTTGTATTCTCCTCATCATGCTCATGCTTGATCTCATTGTTTTTGTTGTTGGTGGTTTTTGTGGCGTTTTCCCCCGGCCCCCCACTCAGGTTTCAAAATGACCGCATGCGTGTTGCCAAAATGTCCTTTTCGTAACAAAAGAAAAAGGTCGAGCCGTATTGACTTTACACACCGGACTTTTGCTGAAAAGGGGGGGTCCGGAAAAAGGCTCGTATACAAAAGAAAAAGGTCGAGCCGTATTGACTTTACAATTACACACCGGACTTTTGCTGAAAAGGGGGGGTCGGTTGGAACACGCATATGCGTACCCTAAATAACACTGAGTGGGGGGGCCGGGCGTTTTCCATGGTTGTTGCCTGGATGATTTTGCCATCTAACTGTTAGATCTATGATCTTATTCTTAATTCTTATTCCTTATAATTGTATAGGCCTTATCGCAAATAGCCTTTGTCGCTGGGTGGCGCCCTTCGCGCAAAGGCCTCTGGGATAGAAAAGGGAGCAAATACGATCTCGGCTTTTGGGAAGCCATACAACGTCACACGTTTTGTATAGTACTACTCCAAGTCGAAGCTATTTTTAATCAAATTTACTGCTCTTTCAGCCGCAGTTTGTAACCAATTTGATACTTGTACCCAGAGCTAAAGAACTAATCTTTGTTTTGTGGTACTTCACTGCAATTATGGCTGACGGAGCTTGTAGGTTTTTACAGTTTTCAGCCACTGAACTCAAGAAGTTTTTGAGGGATAGGCTCGTACCAGTCAATGGTAAAAAGCACACTGAACTTGCTGAAAAAGCTCTTGATTGATGAGAAAGCTGAGCACCGAGGAGATTTTAAAGTGTCAGCAGGAAAAGTTGATACTTGATGATGGAAGATGGGTAGTCCCAGAAATCAACAATATTCATAATTCAAATCTCCATTTCCGAAAATGAATTGGAAGTTTGTCGTATGAAGTGCTGTCCTTAGTTTTTATGATCTGTAAATTTGTTTACATGATACCGATTGCTTTTTATAATGTATACGTATGAGAAATAAAGTAAATGTTCAATATAAGACAAATATCTTTCATGGCTTTGTATATATTCATTTCTACTTTCTATGGACAGTTTTGTAATTTATGGAAGAGATAAAATGAGAGAAAATGTCTTGATTACTCAATTGCACTTTGTTGTAAGGGCTAATAGCGATTTAAACATTTAATGAAGCTATCGCAATGAGCGACGATTAAAAAGAAATCGATTCAGATATACAATGTACTACTTGTTTAGTAATGAATATAAAGAGGGAAGAGATGTAAGTGTTGCTACTATATAGGAGTGGAGAGACGTAATTGTCGAGAAAAGTATAGAAGAGAGGAGGGAAAAGATGTACTTTTTGAGAAAAGTATAGAAGAGAGGAGGAAGAGACATATTGCCAAGAAAACTTATGGGAATGCCACAGCTCACCCCCCCCCCCCCCACCTCATCCGCTTTGGCTATATTGCTAGCTGGGTATATCTTAATGATAGACGATTACACATCTTTTTATCTCCGAATATTTAATCACATTCTCACTTTCACATTTTTATCCTCCATCTCATACATATACTGCTTGTAATGTAGCATATTTTGTTTCTTTTATTCTTTTTATATTTTGCCAGCTCTCCTTTCGCGCATTCTTCAGACATTCGCCCTTGTGTAAATGATTTATTCTCTCATCTTTTTCCATTTCTGCAAATCTCAAATCTAAATAAAAAGACACACAAATATTTAGGTGCAATTGCATGTATTTGGGTGCATCTTCGCTATGATAAAAATATTATAGGATTGAAGAAAAAACGCCTGGTCCACTGGGCGTATGAGTTCCGAGGATCACTTGTGAAACCTTAGTTGTTAACATGGTTCTTCACAACATATCTGTGGGAGGAAGAAAAAGAAGACACAAATTAGATCAACAATCATCTGAATCATCATATTATATGCGATTTAAAATTGTCAATTGAACTTATTTTCTCATTTCGTTCAACTAATTTTTGCAGAAAACTTTCCCTATTCCGACTTCAGACAAAAATGTTAATGAGTGATTTCAATGTATTGATATATAAGGCAATTTTATTTCAAAAAAGGAAAATCGCAGGGGCAATCATATAAATTAAACCAGGTAGGCCTAGATGAAAAGCATTAAGAATGGCAAGGTTAGCTTTAGCGCCTGTTGTTGGCAACAACGCCGTAGCTGTCCCGACACGATTCCCTTCGCCACTCGCTCGTAACACTTGTTTCGATTAGATTTAGAGGCATGCAGTGCCTCCCGGTCATCACAAAATTCGAAAGTAAAACATCAAAATCATTCTTATCTTTCTGGATATCTTCGGTTATTGTTGCATCCATAGACAGCACATCTGTTTCCACCACCCATCACGTAGAATCAATGTAATCAGTGAGTTTGCAAGACAAAATATCACGAGATGTTTGATCGGTATAGGAGCTGAAAGTATAATAAGCCAACGTTCGATGTACGTAGTATATATAGTACGTGTGTACTGTACACAGTGCGCGTCGGCTGCTAGCGTTTCGCATCGTCGCGATCAGACGTTTGCGGCGCTCTTGCTCCCTTTTCAATCCCATCGTCCCTTGCGTGAGGCTATTTGCGATAAGGCCTATCAGGGCTGTCAACCCTCAAGCCACCATGCTCAATCTCCTGTCGTCCCACCAGCTCGTAGCATACACGCACATGTCCGACTCCGAATGGCAATGCACACGCAGTAGATCTACTATATTTGTATGAGTAGAGTAAAGGAGCCCGTAATCGGCCAGCTCCCGTTTTCGGCCGATTGGTTGGATGCAAGGTAAAATCACTCTAAAATACATCGCATAATAGCATAACACATATCCCACACATACCATACCATGCCAGTGTCACTGAAGAACCACATTTGCAATGGAAAATATATCCTAAAATATCACATTTTAGCGATATAATCGCCGGTCCCGCTACCCAAATCTGAAAAATCGAGTATCTTACGCGTGTCTGTAAGAAATATGGGTACCATAAAATGAGCTTTATTGCAAGTATTTTTCAGATTTAAAGCCCGATTTTGTGCTGGTCGCAAGCTCAAAAGTATCTCATCGCATGTATTAAAGGGATCCGGTAACTTTGTCTCAGATTCTGAAATAAAATTCTGGATTTAGCTCATGATGCAATGATAATTATAAACCTTTAGGTCAGTCAGGAACCCCATGACATTTACAAGCCGATCGCCTGTCTGATTATCAAGATATTTATGATTGAAATTACAAATTTTGAAAACCGTTCGCCTGACGGTTTTCATAACACTAAAGTCTATTGATAAAAACGAGTATGGTAAAACCGGTGACGGTCACTCAAAGATTTTTATTTTTTTGAGGCACTTCTTGATCATTTTGAAGCGCAATTTTTTAGGGCTTCAATATTACACCATATCACAGACACTGATAACAAGTAGGGCCGTGTATCTCAGATTTAACATTGTTAAACGATCCCTTTAAATCAATGCAGCCGCACACCGCGACGCACACACGATATCTCTGTCTAATTCAGATTCCAACTTCCGATCACCGCTGTGCCCGTCTTCGGCCAGGCGAGCACCAGGGAGCTCCGGCGTGGGATACCTGCTCCGCCCGCTTGTGCTGTACATCAGCGCGGAAACGCACGGTGCGCGCGAGCGCTTCCTATTGACTTTGTACATGCGGCCGTAAACTGAAACGCTCGGCCGATAACGGGCTCCAAAACAGTGAAAATTGAAATGAATATTGTCATGACAATTCGTGATTTTTTTCTGGGATTCTTTTTTTGTTTAAATAATAATAATATTTGCTTCATGATTTGAACAAGAAATGATAATAAATAGGAAGTAAAGAGTCCTAAAAATAGGGGCTCCTTTACTCTAGGGTCTACGAAGGCTTGCAACATAGGTAGCACACACAAAGATTGCTACGCACTGCGATCGTGAAATACATATGCATGTGCAGATTTTACGCACTGTCACCATGGATTTTGGTTGAGCAGATAGTCACACCTCCCTATTTAGCTGATTCAAAATATGGGGGGAAGGGTATTTTCCAACTAATGGCTTTTGATCCCTTGGCTTGGGGCTAGTTTGTTTAAAGTTAAAAAAACCTCCCGCCAAAATGTTACCTTCTTTTTTTGCTAAAGGGGGGAGGGGTAGTGAGCACTACAAATAAAAATCTTCTTTTTTTAAAATCTATCTCGATATAGCGTTATCAACACGGGATCAATTGATTCCTTTAGGTCCCATGCGCTACAATTCCTTAAAGATTGCTCTATTCCATGACCACGTGCTTCGTTTCCGTGTCTTTATATGGACTAACAAGTCTGTTGACATGAACAGAAGAAGAAGAAGGGAAAAAATAGGCACATGGATATGATAAATTCCTTACAATTACAGTTGACCCAACTTATCTCGCGGGGCATCATTTCTCTAATGTGGCAAATTTCGGAGCCACGATGAACCAATGTTTAAAGCACTGTTTTGATTAACATATTTTTAGAGTTCTGAGATTAACGCCCTTTTGGGCATATGGAGAAAAACCTGCTCTTTCATATGACACCTCATTTGTTGTGTATCGCCTTCTATTCAGGATCACAAAGCATAAAGGTTCGAATCTCAATTTGGTGCTAAAAACATCAACCAATTTTGCATGAGTGCGCAATGCACATAGACTGCACAGGGGTTGCATGCACTTTCTTTGGGAAGGGTTTTAGCACATGAAAGAAGTGCGCGATCAGACGCCCTTGTAGAATCTACTGGTTTATGGAAAAACCTTCTGCCAAGCATGGTAACCACAATTTTACCTTCTTTTTTTGCTAAAGGGGGGAGGGGTAGTGAGCACTACAAATAAAATTTATCTCGATGGTGGTCAATGGATCAGCTACATGTAAATCTGCAGTCTCCTTCAGTACACGGGGATGTATGCCGTCTGGTTTTGTTTTGTGCTCTTTTTTTGCTTTTTTGTCTAATTTATCATTTGTGAACAGGTATATTCACCTGAAATTTTTGTTGTGTGTGGGAGTGTGAGAGACTGTGTCTTGGTTTTATCAGATGTTCAATATCCCATGTAAATTAAAGTTCAGGGTTCTTTGGCCAGGCAGTATACATGTAGATAACATGCGCATGGCTGAATTTAGGAATCGGGAGACTCTCCCCCACTCGTGCACTTGACAGACCGTCTCCCATATTGGAGAATGGAGATTTAAGCATACAAAAGGATGGAAGACACAACACCCAGAACAAGGCAGTTCTTCCCAGTCAAACGTTTGCCTCTATGAGTCTGAGATAGGATAGTCCGAGATCATGGGTAGCCTGGAAGAGAAAATTCTTTTTGCTGTCTGCACTGACAAAAGATGCGTCGTACATATACATACAGGTCGATAACTTACTACATTTTGAACCCATACATATACTTATACGTGCCATTACAGTTATAAAAACATGAAAAATAACTTATAATACCAAGCAGGAAATTCCAATCTCCTTGTTAACAAGTCTTAATTGTCTTAACTTCATCTGATTTTCATTACAGCTTTCTGCAGGTAACCTGGTTAGACCAGCAGCAACCAATAACAGGAACTTTCATTTCTCAATAGAGGGAAGACAGACAGGAGATGGAACTAAAACAAGTCAGGTAAATCACCATAACCTTTATGTACTCTAGTATACATGTATATATGTACAGTGAAACCTACTTTAGTGACCAACCTGTCTATAAAGACCACATTTCCTGTTTCACTGAAATAATGTGGAATAATGTTTCTCTTTGAAGCATGTACTAAAAGATCCTGTACACATGAAGACCACTTGCCTATTACAGACTGCTTGTTTCTCTTGAGTGGTCTTTGCATACATGTTTCACTGCAGTTTATTCCATTTTTGACTGGGAACTATTTTTAGTGTCAATATGACTTGATTCCTATTTGTCTGCTTAGATTCTCTCATTAGCCTAAGGGCATACAGCAACATACATGTATGTACAGGAAATACATGTATCTTTTACGGACAAGAACTTCATATTTTGGTCAAAATATAGAAAAAATTAAAATTCTTTGGTATAATTTCTGCTGATAGCTTGTCATGGGTTATATAAATGTACCTCAATTATTATGAAGTGCTAAGTAAACACTGGGGCAAGCAACATATTTTATTGATTTGCATTTATGATTTCCATTTATTGCATGGGCTGGATTTATTAACATTTATTGCATGAGCAATGATTTTTATTGGTTAGGCAGTGAAACATACGTGACAATGTGCTTTTAAAAACCTATTCATTTGTGGGAGGTTAAGGGGGTACTGTTTTCACTATTCCGAACACGCAGTACAAGTTAATGGACGACATGTCATACTTTGCATTGACATAGATCGTTTATAGAACAACAACATTGTCGGGCCAAGTCACTGTATGATTGAGGAAAGCTACTTTTCTCCTCGGATCTTAGGAAAAAAACTGCAATTCATTCATGCAAATAATACAAGCAGTAATTTTTTTTTCTTCAAACTTACAAATATTGGCCTTTCTTTCATACAACAAGGTCTTTCAAAATCTGTGACAGATAGTAATGTGGACGGGGTATGCCCGCTATTCATAAGGACCGTTATTCATAATTTGAGAAAAGAGTCATTATTCATAAAAGAAGAAGAGAGTTACTACCGGTATTCATAATATGCAAAAAGGGTCGCTATTCATAATACAAAATCAAGGTCGTTATTCATAGCGGTCCTTATGAGTACATGAGTTCATTACTCCTCAATACATTGAATGACCAAACAGGCCTACAACAGTCATGCCCATTTGCAAATATAGTCATTATTTCCATCTGATCACTGCTCCTAGGTTTCGCGAGACTACCCTGTCGTCGATCACACGTTTGATGCTGTCGTCGTCGGTGCTGGTGGCGCCGGTCTGAGGGCAGCATTTGGTCTTGCTCATGAGGGGTTTAAGACTGCCTGCATCACAAAGCTTTTCCCTACCAGGTCACATACCGTAGCAGCACAGGTTTGTTCTCTACTCTGATTCATAGCTCATTGAGAGGTATAGTTGTGACACACATACATGGTTGGCGTTGGTGCGTTGATTCATTTAGATCCAAATAGTTCCCTCCCATGACTTATCACGTGTGATTACTAAAGTTGCACTTATAAAGAAATTGTATTGCGACACCAGATATATTGTTTGCTAATGTATCAGAATAATTTCATATATTGATGAATGAAGTAGAAATTAAATTTAAAGTAAACCTATCACCAAAAATATTTGGATTTTAATGTTTTAAGTTCCATGTCACTACATTCAGAATATGAGCTTGAAATACTGATTACACGAAGAAATATTGCAAGTTTAAATACCGTCTCATAAAAACTTGTAAGTAGACTTCACGACGCTCTGAACCCACTTCTTTTACATTGTAGTTAGTGATCATTTTTATATCTGAGAAGAGTTCTTAAAGTGACTAATATTTATTGCTTCGTCTACTACAATATGCTGAAGAATTTTACTGGATTACATTGAACTTGGAATGACAGTAAGTCGACAGACAGATCTAAATTCTTAAATACTCATCTCTATTCGCAACAAGGTTACGTAACACTTTTTTATTCGTATACAGGGTGGTATCAATGCTGCACTGGGGAACATGGAACCAGATAACTGGAGATGGCACATGTATGTACACCCGTATACAAATGATTCATATGAATTAATTCTTTGTTTCACCCTCAGGATTAAGCTGGGTATCTGTCTTACCCAACAAGCAGATAGATTGAATAATGAATTTATAAAGACATGAGTCATTTGCTTTATAATACAACGAAACTCCAGAATCCTTGTTGTTTGATTTAATACAGATGCATTTCTAAATTGATCCATGTCATTATCGATCGCAAATGAAAAATATTCATGTAATAGCAATTTAGCACCCATACATAGTATAAGCGCACTTACCTCTATACATATACATGACATGCCCATTGTTAAGTGTGTATTATCCTACACCCACTATATGCAAACTGATATACATGTAGTTTACTAAGTATCACTAATTAATTATTTACATGCATTTATGTTGCTTCTGCATTATGTACGATACAAATGGAGAAATTTCCATTAGGAATAGGATGGTTCGCAAGGTCAAAGTTGTATGAATTTGTGACAAAAAGACAAAAGATGTGACATTAGGTGGCGCTTGTCCAGGGAGTGGATTCTGCCCCCCCCCCCCTCCCCTTTTCGGAGTAAACCTGGTCTGAATATCATGAAGTCATTCTTTTTTTTAATTTATATCAAACTACCTGTGTTCAAAGGTATACATGTACACTGGTAGAGCTAAAATAAATATTTATCCTATGATCTTGTCTAACCTCTTTCAAGGTTCCTTTTTAGAATCAGAGGAAATGCAGATAAACGAATTTGATGATGTTTACCAACATTTAAACTGAGCACAGAGCTATTAAACATGATATGAAAAAGAAAAAGAAGAACTGTCCTTGAATATCTCGTTAATATGTTGCAATGTGCTGAAATATGACCCATGACTGCTCTCTGAGCCTTAGTGTTAGGATTCAGCAAACTTATGATTATTCAAAGAACAAGTCGCTCTAGGCAAACAACGTGATTACAATTGTAAGCTTCATATTCCAGGTATATTTCTGTTTCAGAAAAAAAAGGTTTGGGAGTTGTCCTTGTAACATTTACATTTACACCTAGAGGAGTGCACTGAACAAAATGAGACAATAATGAGTAGTTGAAAAACTTCCAGAACTGATTTATGAAAGGAACAGTTGCATAGATGTGAAACATGTATTCAGAACAAAGTAAGCCTGCTCAAGTTAGTCCCTGGCAACACTTGTAGTAAATGAGGAATGTCATGCAATACTGATACACATATGCTCTATTTCTTATCTAATTTTTAAGCATATATTTATGTATCTTGGATTTGCCTCTTTTCAGTTGAAAATGTTGACTTTTGCTTTAGATATTACTTGATACTGATACAATGTAGTAAACATTGACTTTTGTTCATGCTTTATATTTGTCTGTATCAACTGTTTATATAGACAAACATCACATTAACATGTTTTGATGTGTTTATATATAATTGATAGGTATGACACAGTGAAAGGTTCGGATTGGCTTGGAGATCAGGATGCCATTCATTACATGACAGAGGAGGCCCCAAAGGCCGTTATCGAGGTAAAGGTCATTTTTTATGATTTTGTTAACCGTTTCAGTCCATAGGTAGTTTACCCAGTCCAACATTTTATATTGCAGGGTGGTCCACACTCCACAAACAAAATTTCAAATGTGTAAAAATGGATCGTAGAAGAAGTGTAAACTGATGTATGGGAAACACAATGTCCCTAGGCTCCAGGGCTTGCTAAAAGCTTTTTAGAGCAAAATTTGATTTTAATTTTAAGATGCTGGGCAAGATATAACTAGATTAAAGTCTGTAATTTGAGGCCAGAAGGGCAAAATTGTACAACTCAAAAGAAAGAACGATTGTTTAGACGTATGGAGATACAGTCAATCTTGCTTTAGCAACCACCTGTCCAGAAGGCCTTTTTTTTTTTTTCCCCTTGAAATGATGATTCTGACTGATATCTTAAAGTAGCTGTGCCAAGATTTTTAAAAATTAACTTTATTTTCATTATTGCAAAGGTGAAACTTTGATTGGACAATTTTTTCAAAATTCAATGCTTGGAAACATTCAAAATAATGATTATTATCAATTACAAAATGCTTAAATACAGCCTCGGCATAGCGCCTGAAGAGCTCTCTGAACGCTGCTGAGATGTGTGACATCACAGATGACATCCCATAAAGAATGAACATAATTGCAATGCTATTATTTTCTCAAATTATAATGAGTTTATGTTATATAATAAATGTGATGGCATTTCGCACCATTCAAAAAGGGATATGCAACAGATTCTGATAATTAAAATGTTTTGTTTGTAAATACAAACTTAACTTTAGTCTTTATCATTACTTTTCCACCAGCTTGAGAACTATGGCATGCCTTTCAGCAGAACAGAAGAGGGCAAAATCTACCAGAGAGCCTTCGGGGGTCAGAGCTACGACTACGGCAAGGGAGGTCAAGCACATAGGTGCTGCGCTGTGGCAGACAGGACTGGTCATTCCCTGCTACATACGCTCTATGGACAGGTAATGACCAGACATTGCTCACGGTTGACCGGTCAGTCGCTCCAGCGACAATTGCTTCAAGCGATTCAACATCCAGGCTTTATTAGGTCGAAGATGTTGGGTTAGAGTTGCGATTGGGTTGTAGGATAGTTTCAGGTTTAGGGTTATGTAAAGTGTGTTTGATCCAGCGCTGAAGTTAATTTAGTTAGTGTAGAGAAATGACCCCAGAGCTATTGTCGCAAGAACATGTGTTGCCCAAACTGGTAGGGGTGCCATTAATGTGTTGATTGGCTGATGTAGTATTATAGTAGTTAGCATTTCCTCATATGTCTGTGCAAAGAACACTATACATCAGTTCCTATGTACTACATAATCAACCTTTCCCGATCGATTCCACTTTCTTTTACAATGTAGTCCCAGGACTATTACTCAACTTTATCTTTAAAGGGATTGAGTAAGTTTGTCTCAGATTTTGAAAGAAAATCCTGGATTTAGCTCATGCTGCAATGATAATTATAAACTTTTAAGTCAGTCAGGAACCCCATGACTTTTACAAGCTGATTGCCTGTCTGATTATCAAGATATTTATGATTGGAAATCTAAATCAAATTCACGTTTTCCTAACATTTTTCATAACACTACACTACGAATATGGTAAAACCAGTCACTCAAAGATTTTTACTTTTTTGAGGCACTTCTTGATCATTTTAAAGCGCAATTTTTTTTTAGGGCTTCAATATTATTTTCATAACACTACACTACGAATATGGTAAAACCGGTCACTCAAAGATTTTTACTTTTTTGAGGCACTTCTTGATCATTTTAAAGTGCAACTTTTTTTTTTAGGGCTTCAATATTACCCCATATCACAGACACTGATAACACATAGGGCCGTGCATCTCAGATTTAACATTGTTAAAACTATATCTTTAATGAACCCTATGTATTTCCTTTCTACAGTCTTTGAGATATGACACATCATACTTCATTGAGTACTTTGCTCTGGATCTCATTATGGAGGATGGCGAGTGTCGTGGCGTCGTGGCGCTGTGCATGGAAGACGGCTCTATCCATAGGATCAGGGCCAAGAACACAGTCCTCGCTACAGGGTAGGCTAGATTTGGAACTCCTTAAGATTCTTTCACAATGTTGCACTAAACTGCAGCATTTTTGTTATTATTTATATATGTGCAAGGGTAATACGCTCCATATTTATATCTTCCTTATATGTACCTTTCTCTGTCATATGTGACCAAGCCATGAGTGACTGTGTAGGCTTGGGATCCTCTCAGTATTTGGCGTTGAGTTCCTTTGAGAGAGTTTGATTTATATGCCTTGGAATATACCTTGGAACTTATTTTCCTCTCGTTGACATTAGGATGAAGAATCCATATTGGGACACATGTTTAGTAGGACATATTTAATCTCTCTTCTATTATTTTTATGGTAGGGTTAGGTAGACAGGCTTTGTAAATTATAACATATGTCAGACAGTACGACTCCTGAAATATGACCTTAAAAGCTTCCTAACATTTACAAAATGTGTCTTGTTTTCTCTCCGACAGTGGCTACGGCCGTGCATACTTCAGCTGTACCTCTGCCCATTCATGCACTGGGGATGGTACTGCTATGCTCACCAGGGCTGGTCTGGCCAATGAAGACATGGAGTTTGTCCAGTTTCACCCCACAGGTATTACATCTACTCGTCACTTTGAATGACCATCTCTGGTGCTCTCACAAAGGCTCTGGGTTAACTTAAAGGGGAAATCCGCCCCGTATTCAGTTGGCTTTAACGAAAGGGGGAAAATGAAAGGAACATATGTATCAGTGAAAGTTTGAGCAAAATCTGATAAAGCTTTAAAAGTTATGAAGTTTTGAAGTTTTCATCAATCAAACACAAATCGACAACTGTTGAGGTTCTCCCCATTTGATCTGGACAGAAAATCATGATTTCAGTTTTCTTGGTTGTTGATGGAGGACTAGATTTGTATCATTCATTGGTTGTGTAAAAACAAATGTGCAATAACTATATGCAGGATGCATTTATAATTAGATATATTTTCTTTATAGAAGGTAGAAATGTATAGCATTTTTCTCCTTATTCATTTTTGTTGTAGTCCAGACAGTATATTTGAGGAGTAGTTATGTTGTCTTGTTATTGTGTAAAATGCCCTTTGTAATGATCCTGGAATTTTAAAAGTCCATCAGAAGAAAAAAACCAAGGAAAATTTGGGCAATTGAATACTATTAACCTTTGGATGAAAAACCATGATTAAGCATGTTTTGTTTATACTTGTTCACTCCACAGGTATCTACGGAGCAGGTTGCCTCATCACAGAGGGGTGTCGTGGGGAGGGTGGATACCTCCTCAACAGCGAGGGTGAGAGGTTTATGGAGAGGTACGCCCCCACGGCCAAGGACCTCGCTTCCAGGGATGTCGTCTCAAGGTCCATGACCATTGAGATCAGGGAAGGAAGGTGAGTGGAAACATCAAGGATTAGTTAAGCCCCACTGTACATCTTGTAGCTATTTGCTCCCTCTATATAGAAAACAATGCCTAAGCGGTGCCTGTTGGTCCCCCATGATCCTCTTTTCCTTATTTTAATTGGGAGCTGATTTAATGAGATATCACCTGTCAGTGACCATGCTGGGTGGTCTAATCCTTCCTGGCCAAACTAGTACAGACAGGCTTTAAAGGCTCCCATGCATCCTGGATTATGGGGAAGACTTGGGAATAGTCAGGGATTAGAAGAAAGATCTGGAAATTTCATGAGCCCTCAAGAAATGTAGCCAGCTTCATTATATTTTGTCTCATGTCAAAATAGCATATCCAATGGATGATGGGCTATGGTGGCTTTAAGTGTGTAAAATACCTCTTATTTAGAACCCTATCAGGGAAAATCTGGTAACTTTGGTTTCATGAAACGGTGGGATTCCAGAAGATAGGAATACTGAACTTTAGAAATAGCGTGGATTTAAACCTAAGAAGCAAAGTTGTTAAAACCTCCCTCTCTTGTTAATCCTGTCTAAATTTTCCAAGATTTGACCAGACAAGGTCATTTCTATATTTAGCTTTAAGCTAACAGCACGAGGTACACTATTGTGGTGTAGTTAAATATGGCCTTGTTCATGAAATATTTGACTGACCCAGTTATTGATTAACTTTACCTTTTGTTCGCTGTACTTAAGCCGTCATATTATTGAGAATACATGTTCTTTAAACATTGTAATGGACAGCTAACAACTCAACTATTTATACCTGGTCCAAGTTTCTAACTTTCTGAGCATTTGAAAAATCGATTCTGCCTGATTATTTTCTAGAGAATGTGACATAATATAAAGCTTAAATCTTAAGTATTTAACAAGGGTCCTAATTCAACCAGTCCACCTTTTATTCTTGAGTCATGGAAAACACACCCCCAAAAACTTATGAATAATTCAATTGTTTGTTTGTTTGTTTGTTTGTTATATTTATATACCATGTTAAATAATTGTTTACAGATAATAAAATTCAGTGGGTTACATCGAGAGATAATACATAGTAGGGACAGTGCATAAAGCTACAGTCACAAAGGTTTGTATGAATGATAATTTCGAACGAATCTCCCTGTTTTTCCATTGTCTGAAAATCGTTTGTACGGCGTTCATAGCAGTTCGTAATGGCATTTGTGATCGAGGCTTAAACAAAAAATGTTTGATGCGCAACGTCCCTAAGAGATAACATAGTTGTTGACTGTAAGTATGACAAATTATGAAATGTAATTATTTAACATAATGCAATGTTTGTACCCTCCCTCCAGGGGCTGTGGACCAGACAAGGACCATGTATACCTGCAGCTGTCCCATCTCCCACCAGAGCAGCTGGCCATGAGACTGCCAGGCATCTCAGAGACGGCCCAGATCTTCGCCGGTGTAGACGTGACCAGGGACCCTGTTCCGGTGCTTCCCACAGTCCACTACAACATGGGAGGGGTACCCACCAACTACAAGGGACAGGTCGGTAGCTGTGATGCCGATAAAGGGCTTATCGGACCATAAATCAGAGCTTAAATAAGGCCTTAAAAAAAGATGTTGTAATTGCCCTTTGCGATTGACCCAACAATCTTAATATCTACAGTCGGCTTTTAAAAAAATGTATTAAAGCATTCAAAACTGAGAAATATCAGCCCATAGAGTTTTTTTTTTAAAGTTTAGAAGAAAAAAAAGATTTCCGACCGATCGACCCATGTTATGGCATCTAAAGGGCAATACAACATCTTCTTTTTTTTTTTTTAGGCCTAATGGAAGGATAACCTTAAAAGTGGTTACACCTGATTGCTATAATTTTGAGGGTTCTGTCAATCGAGCATGAGAGAGACTATCATTTCCTATGAAGTGACATCACTTCAAAGGAGTCAAATTATGAGCATAAAGGATATCATTGCTATGGAATGTCCAAAGAAATTTGATTCCAACAAGACAATAAAATTGTTGCGACAGGCTCATGAGCATAAATTGTTACAGGTCTGACCTGCAACAATGATTTTTCAATAAAAAAAGAGAGGAGCAATTAAGAATTGTTTTCTTATCGTTATATTCAATATCAATATTCAATATCAACGTTCAATATCGTTATCCTTTAGATCTGACTAGCCTGTAAAACCTCAAAAGTTGTTAACCCTTAAACTTATGAACTAAATGCAGATGAAATACATATACTTAGTTCCTCTGGTAAGTTGTTCATGATATTCATTCATTCCTTAGGTCACAACGTTTACAATTATGACATTTCGAGGGTTCAGTGACACAAAGACGTAACTCCATATTTTGCCAAAATGAGAATTTGAATTAAAAATGTACATACAAATGTGGGCTTTCCAAGAATACAAAGACTTAACTCCCCCCAACACCCCATTGAAGTCGATGGCTAGTGAAACATAGACTTAACGGCCCAAGTGCTCAGTGACATATATACCACTTTTTCTCAAAATGGAGTTACTTCTTTGTGTCGCTGACCCCTCGATTCGTTCTATGGATGGTAAATTTCAAAATCCAGAGTAAATGTTAGATCACCACCTATTCATATCTTCTATTACATTCTGATGATTTGTAGGTGATACAATACAGCGATGAGAATGGTGATACCATTGTGCCCGGTTTGTACTCGTGCGGAGAGGCTGCCTGCGCCTCTGTCCATGGGGCCAACAGACTGGGTGCCAACTCACTGCTTGATCTGGTGGTCTTTGGACGCGCCTGTGCTCACACCATCACCGAGGAGAACAGGCCGGGAGAGAAAATCCCAGACATCAAAGCGGTAAGATTGGATAGACATGATTTTTTTTTGTGGGGGGGGGGGTGGGGTTTTTTGTTCAATAAGTTTTCATGTTTATTCATGGTACTATTTTAATACTCATTAGTGGACATGAACAACCTTAAATTTGATCAGACAGAGAAAGCGAATACCAGTCGTAACCTAGTAAGATTGGATAGACTTTATCAATGTGTGTTTTCATGCCCATTAAAATATTTTCGAAGATGCTAACATCTTTCCATAATTGTTAAGTCCAACTTAGAGATGAATTCAACATCGGATCTTTGTGAAACACCCCCTGTACTTAATGTCATCTGTAATGCATTACTATTTTCTCCTTGTCCTTTAGAATGCCGGTGAGGTTTCAGTGGCCAACCTTGACAAGCTGAGGTATGCTGATGGTGATGTCAAGGCTGCTGATCTCAGGCTTAAGATGCAGAGAGTAAGAACAGAGTCATTAAATGAAGAGTTTAATTCCAAAAGGAGCTAAATCCATTTTTGTAACTTCAGAGAAAAAAGGAATTGTTGACCAGATTTTGTACAGGCGTCTACGGAAGGTGATATTATAAGATGCATTTTTCATAATTGCTCCTAAAATTTAGGGGAATAAATTTTTGTTGGAAGACGGGTACTTAAGTGAACAATGTTCTGATATCAATAACTCAATTTTTATCAAAAGTGGATTTGGCTCCTTTTGGGATTAAGCTCTTCAAATATTGGCACGTTTAAAGATCATGAAAGATTGCATTACATTTTAAATTGCATGATATATGCTTTTGCAACAATTGCTCCCGAGCGTAGAGCAATTGGTGTCATCTAAACGTAACACTCCTGCTAAATAATAATAATATTAACATTGATTTACTGTGCTGTGCTGAAATAAAATAATCCTTATAGTTCTAATTTTTGGGCACACAACCAAACACTATTTCTAAAATTTATTTTTATTTATTTATTTCATTTCCAGGCAAGATGATAACATACAAGACATCACAAGGTTGACAAATGATATAGCATAAACATAATGATATTTAGCACCAGCCAATGCCTGAGGATCACCTAAAAGAATTTTAAAATTCTGTCTAGAGGCTCTCCACGCGGGCTAACCATAGCCCTTAAACCTAACCTAAAACTTTAATCATAACCCAAGCTGTAACCTTGTATCTTTGATGAGATTAGGCCTTGAGCAAAGGTGTGATTACCACATTTTAGAGTATATTGCAATTTGCAAAATGTCGCTATGGAAGTTGGAGCTGGGGTTGAAAGAAACGTAATCTTGAAATATCAATGGTATTTAAAGAAAATTACATCTCCTGCACTTGCTGAGAGAAACAAAGACAACAGCAGAAGTCTAGCCAAGTAAAATTAACATTGCTTTAATTAATCCAATAGTTACTTTTATGAATCTGAATTGGGATATGACCTTGGTTCATGCTTGGTCATGTGAAAGTATTAAGTATTGACTGATACTTTTCAGGCTACTCCTGTTTGTATTGGGGTATTGTGCTTGTAGATCCATTGAGTTTTACTCTGTATCTTTGATGTCTCTTGAACAGACCATGCAGAACAATGCCGCAGTATTCAGGACAGGAGAGACGTTGTCAGAGGGTATTGACTTGATCGACGATGTCTACAAGAACCTTGACAACATCAAGGTGAGTCAACGACTTCAAGAGAAGTTTTAGTTCTGGGATAGGGTGGAAATATATTTGTTTGACCTTTTCCAATCATTTTATGTTAGTGTGGAAGAGAATCATTGGAAAAAATGTCTTCTGAAAGGGATGGCTCTTCAAATGGCATCTTATTTGAAATGTGACAAGTACCAGCTAAAGGTTGTGTAGACTACACTTTAGAGAGTTAATTCAATAAAGTGTAAGTCTAAAACTGTTTCAGAGGGAAGGAAGGAAATATGCTAATGATATGTTGAAATATATTACCTACTGAAAATGTATTTTTTTTAAACTAGAACTAAAATTGATGCACTTCCATGAGAAAAGTGTAATTTTAATCCCAACTGTACTTTCTTAAAAACATCTGTCAGTTGTTACAAGTGTACATTAGAGGTGTTTTGTAGGTAAATATTCGTTCTACTGAATTTGGTTCGGTTACGAGGTTATCATTTTAATTTTTATGCCTCCGCCACCGAAGGTGGTGCCGGAGGCATCATGTTTTCGGGTTGTCCGTCCGTACGTCCGTACGTCCCGTTTGACCGTTATCACAATATCTCAAGAACCATTTAAGATTTAAACTTAAGACTCGGGAATAGTATTTATCACCATAGGAAGACGATCTGATTAGATTTTGGAGTATGTAGGTCAAAGGTCACAGGTCACAGAGGTCAACATGAAATTCCTTGTATTGAGTTTGTTAGCGCGATATCTCAAGAACCATTTGAGATTTAAACTTCAAACTTAAGGATAGTATGTATCACCATAGGAAGACGATCTGATTAGATTTTGGAGCACGTATGTCAAAGGTCAAGGGTCACAGAGGTCAACTTATGAAATTCCATACATTGAGATTGTTATCATGATATCTCAAGAACCACTGGAGATTTAAACTTCAAACTTAGTGATAGTGTGTATCACTATAGGAAAACAATCTGATTAGATTTTGGAGCACGTATGTCAAAGGTCAAGGGTCACAGAGGTCAACTTATGAAATTCCATACATTGAGATTGTTATCATGATATCTCAAGAACCACTGGAGATTTAAACTTCAAACTTAGTGATAGTGTGTATCACCATAGGAAGACGATCTGATTAGATTTTGGAGCACGTAGGTCAAAGGTCAAGGGTCACAGAGGTCAACTTATGAAATTCCATACATTGAGATTGTTATCATAATATCTCAAGAACCACTGGAGATTTAAACTTCAAACTTAATGATAGTGTGTATCACCATAGGAAGACAATCTGATTAGATTTTGGAGCACGTAGGTCAAAGGTCAAAGGCCCCAGCGCACATTATGAATGCAAAAACAGCTTGTGATCGCGTTATCTCAAGAACCGATTGATGGATTCATGCCAAAATTAGGTCATGTTTGTTACTTGCAGAGCCAATGAACTGAGTAGATTCTTGGTTCATAAGGTCAAAGGTCATGGGCCCATTATGTATGCAAAAATAGCTTGTGAACGCATTCTCATTAGAACTGACAGACGGATTACTATTTAACTCAGAACATCTTGCAGAGCCAATGAACTGAGTAGATTTTATGGTCATGAGGTCAAAGATCAAAGGGTCATATATGTATATGAGAAATTGCTTGTAATCACAATATTCTGAGAACCTGTCAATGGATTACCATTGAACGTGAATTCAATTTTTTTTTTTCTGTTTTGGTTTGTTAAATTGCTCTATAACGGAGACATCATTTTCGAATGCGCACAGTCAAATTCCATCTAGTTCTTGAATTAATTCTAATTTCAAAACGGCCCTCATGGAAGACTGCCACTCTTGAAGAATTGTGCTGCTCTGTAAAATATATGTGAACTAAATGAATAGTTGATGAAGTCGATAGGTTAAAGAATGAATGAATATAGATATTAATGTGTTCTGTTTTTTTAAATAGTGAAATAGATGAATTAGTGAATGAGTAAATGTGTGAATAACAGGAAGAATGAACGAAAAAACAAAGAAGTATCGGGATGTGGTTCTCTTTTTAGCTCTTTGATCGTGGCATCGTGTGGAACACAGATCTGGTAGAGGCCCTTGAGCTACAGAACCTTCTGTTGAACTCGGTCCAGACCATGCACAGCGCTGAGGCACGCAAGGAGAGCAGGGGAGCCCATGCTAGAGAAGATTTCAAGGTTAGTTTTGATGAACTTTGCAAGCTCCAGGGATATTGCTTTTAAGTTACGATTGGGCCTACAGTGAGAAGAAGCAAGAGGATGAAGGGGAAATAACGAGAGAAGGGGGAGAAGAAGAGGAGAGAAGAGGAGGGAGAAGAAGAAAATGAAGGAGGACAATACGAATGAGGAAAGGAGAAAAGGGTGAAGCCAAAAGAAAGGAAAAGAGAAAGAAGAGGAAGAGAGAAAAGGAGGGAGAAGAAGAAAGAAGGAACTGAAGGAGAACAACACGAAGGAGGAGGGGAGAAAAAAGATGAAGGGAGAAGAAAGGGCAAAGAGAAAGAAAAGGAAGTACAAGAAGGAGGAAGAGAGAAAAAGGAGGTAGAAGGAGAAGAAGAATAGGAAAAGAAGAAGGAAGAGTAGGAGAAGAAGTGAAGGACAGAAAGAAGGTAAAAAAGAAAAGAAAGAAAGAAGAAAAGAGGTAGTGGTGAAGGTAATGCATGCAGTAATTGAGTTCACTGAACATAATGCATACGCTTGTATATCTTGCCCTCCCACATCTGCAGGATCGTATTGATGAGTACGACTTCAAGAAACCCCTTGAAGGCCAGGAGAAGAAACCTGTCGAAGAACACTGGAGAAAGCATACTATGTCACACATGGATGAGCACACTGGCGAGGTAAGTTTATTCTACTTCATCCTTCCAACATTTTTGTAACAAAGTCATGAGAAGCTTTCTGCTTTGCATGTATAATCAGAGAGCAGTGTGAAGGCTTTTGTATGAATTTAAGTCCTGTCATCTCTCGGTTTCAAGATTTTCAGGCTTCATGGTTGACGGAATATATGGTGCTCAAACATGTCATGGTCTTATATCACACTACATGCAATTGAGTCAGAGCAAGTGGTATCCTTGATGTAATATGCAGAAGTAAAGGGTTCCCTCACTCCAGAGTTTTACTGGATTCCTAAAAGACCCGTAAAAAACGTGATCTACCTGTAAAATATTGTGGCACAATTTCTAGGCGTTTTATCATGTGTTCAACTTGAATTGATATGCTAAGTTTTAGGAGTGTTGGTTTTGAGAAACTTTGGAGATACACAAGAGATTCTGTGGATTCTGTAATAGATGATAATAGAATGAAAATAGAATGAAATTACATCCAAGTAATAAAATTGAAATTTTTAAGCACCTGTGTTCAAACAAGACTGCAATTTGATTCTGATAAAAGTATGCTCACTTTACTTTTGTAGGATCATTGAACTCTAGTTAATTAAAAACAGAAGTAGGTCACTTAGAATTAACACTCAGACTGAAGGAACTTTATTTGGCAGGTTGTGTATTACATGTAAACTACACAGGACTGCCTCAATGAAATCTACACAGCAGTCGGTGCTTTAACAAAGGCAGGCTTGTCAATTACAGGAGGCAAGAAAACTACAAGGAATACTTGAGGAGTTGATTTCTGGATCAAAATTTGTAAACAAGAAGGAATGTAATTTACAAGGTATCAGAGTACCTGCAGAAAGAGAGCCTAAAGTTCAAAAGTTCAAGTCTGAAGATAGTTTATCATTCCTTTGCTCAAACTTATTAAAGATGTGTTTGGAGTTGCATAATCATACGCAGCATTATGTCTGTCCATTTTTTGTTACTTGTTAAGCATTTTTCCTGATACGTGGAAGAGTCTAAACAGTATGGTTTTTTTGAAGCAAAAGTTATTAAGAAATATTGTCTTATTACTTTTTCAAATGTATTCAAAATAACACCACAATGTGCTGTGTGTTAAAAGCGTTCGGATAATCAATGTGCTAAGACTGATTTTAAACCAATTGGTCTAACACTCATTTCACTCAATTCTGAGTTTTCCATCACTTTGTGTGTGTGTGTGTTGTAATACCGTACTACCTATAATCTATAAAAGGGATCAGTTTATCTCTGTGTCTACTATTAATGTTATCTAATTGGTTACATGTTTGGTGTTATATGATCGATTTTGTAACATGCATCAAATTGACTTAACTACACCTTTAAATTTCAAAAATCATGTTAAAAAAATTATAAGTTCATTTCATTTTAATAGTTTTGAAAGCTTTATTTCTATGGTAAATAATCAATATTTTCCTCCTCGCTTTCTCTCTCTCTCTCTTTCTCTCTGTCTTTCTCTTTCACAGGTCAAGCTAGAGTACAGACCAGTCATTGACGAGACCCTTGACCAACAAGACTGTGCCACTGTCCCGCCAGCAGTCAGATCTTACTAAGCCCTTTATTATTCTGAAGTAACAGTATCAGAACTTTATGAAATCACATCACTAAAAATATCATGAGAAACACTGTACAGCGATCTTGATACTGATATTTTTTTTTTATAGATATTGTCTTACACATGTATGGTATTTTGAAAACATCTTCATTTGTGATACCATGAGAGATGTAGTGCCTCATACTGGCTGGTATATGGATTCTGATTCGCTTTTGGCCAAGTAATGCATTACCCGATATGTACTGAAAGATATAAATATAAGTTGTCTGTCAGGATGTCCTATGTCATTGAATATCAATACCCAGATAAGCCATAGATTTTGGCTACAACAATTGGAAGATTGAAAAAGGTTTGAAATTTTTTTTATTGATTTTCGCACATCAGTTTTACATTTGTATTCAAATTTATTGATGGTCCTTTCCCACAACCAGGTTATGAAATGTTCAATTCACCCTTACATGTTATTATAGCATCTATGCGAATAAAATCCACCTTGCAGGCATCAGCAATGTCAGGTAAATCTCTGACAAGCTTTGGAGTCATGGAGAGCTTCTGTTATTCAAGAATTATGCATCTGCTTTGAATTCATAGCTAGATTGTTGTTCTTTCACTTCATTGTCATTTCAAGGATTTAATTGGTTTCCGTTTCGTGAATTTGAGCTTATGTACTTGAGTGATCATTTAAAGGTACAACTGTAGATGGTCAATGAGTGATTTATGATGGCTTAATGTGACGATCAATCCTGACCATATTGAGCTGGCTTCATTTGCAAAAGTATATTATACTCACATCTTTGCAATCCCTTTCACATATGTACATATTGTGTGAAGTTGAGTCATTTAGTGTGTCATAATATATGTCATGAAACATTATACCAATGATAGCATTGAAACTTGTGTGTGAACATCTTTATATCTTGGTGTATCTTGATGTATTTCATGCAAAACATATTAAGTAATGCTAATTTAGTAGTCAGTTAATCTTATATCAACAAACTGATTTGTAATGCTTGTCATGACTAGTATGGAAAAACTTGAACCCCTTATTTTGTAAAAGTTTTATTTAATTATGCATTAAATTTGTACCTGTTTGATTGTGAATAAGATAGCAGTTATGTTCTACCTCTAATCATCACATCTAGCAAAGTATTTTCATTTGATCTAAATAAATCTAGTGAATTTAAGATTAATTTAATATATTGAAGGTATGGGTGTTTAACCATGTGATTTTCTTGTTACATTTTCTATTTGAAATAGTTTGTATTTTGAATATTGATAACATATTTTGTGAATTGTATGATGTAACTTCATGGCATGTGGGCTTAGAAATAGTTGTGGAGAGATTTTCAGATGATCCTACAAATGCCATAATGGCAGAGAAAAGAGAGTAAACTAACATATACTTATAAAATATGACCCCTTAAATTGCAATGGTTTATGTGATTGCTTGTAAATGTAATAGATAATGTGATGTATATGAATTTGAATGGTTTGTTGCTGGAAAACATCACAGTTTACAATCGCACAGAAAATATGATTTGATGGACCACTTGATCTGCTCTCCCAAATCTGGAGTTCCACATTATTGTGCTATTATGCAGAGGCAAAGGACAAAAGAGGAATACATGTATACATTTCCCTTTTTTTTGCAAAGATACACCACAGTAAAGGGAGTAATGGTATCTCACCAGTTATAATTCATTGAAAATAAAGAAAAAAACGACAAGGAGATACTAAAGAATGTGTGTACATATGGCATGACAGAAGGGAATTTAATCATAAATTCTTTCTAAATATTTCCAGGTTGCAATTGGATGTATGTCTTGATTTACTACAGTGAACTTGCTAAAATTATTTCTATTACACAAATGTATGAATCCTTTTTGAAATAGAGATATTCAAAATATCTGTTATTTCCCAAGCCTCCTTCCACACTTCGTCTGTTATGGCATATGCATTGGTTAGGAGTTTCCATTTATTATTGATAGACAACTTATCAAAATATTTGGTGATAGATAAATATTAATTAAGCTTCTACTTATATTCTTTTGTAAATACAGATTGAGTTTAACCGTTCAACAAATAAATTCTCCTCTTTTGAGGAAGAAATTACGAAATAGAATAGTGTTTTGAGTTGCGTTGGTTTGGGTCTTCATTATCTGAGTGCTTATTGTTAACGTGGCTAACGCTTAAGCTTACTTGTGTATTACTTAGGAAATTAACTTGATGTATTGATGTGGGATTGTTTAAAGCCCCACTGCACTACTTAAAGCTAATTGTGCCCTCTATATAGCAAACAATGCCTAATCAGTGACCATTGTTCCCCCATGGTCCCCTTTTTCTTATGTTAATTGAGAGCTCATTTGATGAGATAACGACCTGTCAGTGACCATGCAGGGAGGTCTAATCCCTCCTGGCCAAGCTAGTGCAGAGGGGCTTTAAGTTATTGATATCTTATTGTAAGTAAAAGAAAATAAGAAGCATTGATGAGCAGTAAAATGAAAATATTTTCTCTTGCTACGTGGCTGTACCCTGACAACAAAAACTTCTTCAACACAATTGTCAGTGCTAAAAGCTGCAAGAAACGTGTTTCATGATTAATGTGGAATATATATTTCTCCGAAAATGACTCGTTAAATCCTTCAGTTAACTCTCTTGTTTTACATACATGTACTTGCCGCTGACAAAACCTGGGGTGGGGGGGGGGACCATTGGTTAAACACGTGACTTATATTCATGGAACCCTCGAATGTTTTTTAACATTTTTCTCAATAGATATACCCATACAATTCAACCCATAATTCCCATGCCTCGGGGTTCATAATTCCGAACATATTTTGTTGCATTATTCCGAAGGTTCATAATTCTGAAAATGAATTGGGGTTCATATTTCCAAAAAATAAAAGAAGGGGGATATCAGTTGCGATTTTTCCCGCAAACAAGGTGTGGATCGGGGGGATACGAATTACGAACCCTGTTTCGTTTTCGGAATTACGAACCTTATGAACCCTATTTCATTTTCGGAACTACGAACCGCATGAACCCCATTTTATTTTCAGAAATACGATCCTTCGGAATAACGGACCTTCGGAGTAACAAGACTTCGGAATTACGAACCTTCGGAAAAAAGGGCATGTAACCGTTCTTCACAGGCAGACCCAGTCGCTGGCATCCTGTTATTCTACATGTATTTTCCTCATCTGATCGTGTTCTCTTTGTCCATCTCTAACTGGAAGCAGGTTTGTTCTTGAACTTGCTTGAAATCTAAATTTAGAAGATCCAGACCGCCATGTCCACCAAAGTTACCCAAAATAAAAAACGGCACAAGATTTGCCCTCTCACTAAACCTGTTCTAAATGATCAGTCGTGATTTCCTTCCCGATTTTCGACAGGCCTGATTTTGTACGTTTCCTCTAAAGAACATAATATCTGGCTAGCCCTGGTCCGACTTCTTATTTTACCGAGGCCAATATATCAAGTAAACGCCATTTCTATTTGGTCAACTTTATCAATAGAAAATATATCTATTTATTTACTTATTCATTTGTTTGTTTGTTTGTCTGTTTATTTGTTTATTTTATTCATTCATTTATCTATTCATCGATTATTTTTTATTTCTGTATTTCATTTTATCCATTTTTTATGTGCATATTTGTTTATTTATCTACCTATCTATAGTTTCATTAATTCATTAATTCATATATTTTTATTCATTCATTTTCTTTGTTCATTCGTTTGTTTATTCGGTATTTATTTTATCATTTATTTATTTATTAATCCATTCATTGATGTATTTATTTATTCATCTATTTATTTATCTAAATCTATCTATTCATTCAATGCATCTATTTGTAATATGAGCGAAAAGGGGAATGCCTGATCAAATATGGGGTCACTTTTTGTAGGTCAACTGAGGTTATGGGGGATTTATAAGAGGTCTAAAGTAGGCTAAAGCCTAAAGGAGATTAAAAGATGTCGAGGTTAAAGTAGATTAGAGGTTATTACCGATGCTTTCATATTACAGATTAGTTTTTGTTTTCCTTTAATTGAAATTAACACGCATTTATGGTTTTACTAAGATGGAACTACTTAATCCAGTCGGAAATTACCAAAGCAACAGGGCACTCATTGCTAAGAAGTTGTTTCCACGACCGTCTCCTCGTAAACCCTACTTCAAGTCAATAGCCACATCCGACCGTCGTGAAGAATTCTGTCGCAAAGGTCAACTATCTATCTAGGCCTGTTTCTTGATCTTCAATGTGAGAGGGTTCTACCACAGGCGTTGGTGGGGGGGGGGGGGGGGCATAAACAACCGGCCCGTTTCCCTCCCCCTCCCCCTCCCCCTTTATCCATTGAAACCCACGTGGCATTCCTTTAACAGTAGGCCACTATCATGGTTGGGGAAGAATCGGTTTGGTGTCAGTTAGGTAATATGTTGGCATAATTTTAATGATAATAATAAGTTGCAGGTTCCAAGTGCATCTTCTTACATCAAAAGCCGAGACATTTTACTTAGAATTGCCTCTCTTGACCCATGCGTAGCAAACCACTCTACGTATAGATCCTTTGAATATTATAAATGTGAGTCCTGTCAAGTGTCATGGCAGTCGGGGCTAAAATACCCTTTTTTAATTTAAATGTCTTTCCATGACCGAACTCTTTCGAAGGAAGCAGGGGCCTTCTCAGAGTTCCTGTTTGGTGAATTTACAGGGGGCTCCTTTCCTGATATCTCCACGCAATATGGCCTTCAAATGACGGAACGTCGGGCTACTACTGTATGCTATTAGGCCTATTCAGATATCGTTAATGTAGATGTGTATTGAACCCGTTTACTTTGATTCAATCATCTCAGATTTTGAATAAAGTATCAAGCCGAAGCTCAGCCTTCTGCATACTAATTAAACCTTTGTATTGGTGGATTGATACAGGAATAAAATCACCTCCTTTAAAAAAAAAATGGTTGGTCGATGTCTTCGCTACTTTTTGTAGGTTGTTGACACATATACCACCGGCACCCCCCTCCCTCCCCCTCCCTCCCCCCCCCCCCCCCCCCATCCGATACTGCAACTTTATGTAGCCATTTTAGGTCAGACAAAATCTCCGACAGGCATGATAAAATGGGTTAACAAATAATGGGTTAATCGCATTGATACCCTTTCGGCCAGAAAATTTTCCGACAATCAACATTGATTCTAACATTTTCAAAGAAACATTTTTATCCAATATGCGTTCGGGGAAAAAGAAACCATCTTTAACACGTATTTTCTTTTAATTTGGTATACAAACCTAAAGGGAGATCAACGTCAGCTGCCGGAGAGCATGCCCCCCTCCCGGTTGCATCACTTTGAAGAAGTATATAGGTCGGATGAGAGCGTGATAACAATCTGTATCGCCCTGATCCGTTTTCACCTATATTACCTGTATAATAAATATTGCGTGTTTTGGGGTGGTTAGCGGAAGAAACCACACATCAGATAATCACCTCTCAGCTAAAGGTTATCAGTACAGACTAAAAAAGGAGGGCGAGAACCTTTCTTGTTTTGCGATCTGAAATTATACTATTTTTGGCTTTGGTGGTTTACTAGAGATCTACCTGATAGGCCTCCCCTTTTCCTCTTGTCACTTCGGTAACCAACATTTTGTTTTAAATATAGAGAGAGACAATAGGATGAAGGCATGGGTAGATAGGGGGAGTGGGCGTGGCGCGGTGGTACAGAGACAAAGAGACACGTGCCCCCTCCCCACCCTCTCCAAAAGGAAGACTAAAAAGGGGAAAAGAATTGAGAGAAGGGGGACAAAGAAAGGGAGGAGAAAAGTAATGACAATAGTACCCTTCCATATCCGCACCCTTATTCTAAAAAGGCAGGTGCCCCCACCCTCCCATCATGCCATTGCCCATCCATGAATAGCCTGATACATGCTACGCCAGTGGTTGAAGGAATCACGTTGATTCCTATTTACGTGTTAGATTATCAATTCAGTCTCCATACTGGTCTCAAAGAGGATGCGGTAAAATACGTCATATTCCTTTTCGAGAAATGAAATGGTGCAAGACTATTTTCTTGAAGTATTGAAATCGAATCCCCATCTTTATAACAAATAATTCTCTACCACGATTCGTTGATCTTTTTTTTTTTTTTGTCTTGTCAAACAAACAAAAGTACCTGTTGCTAGACCGGCTAATCCTCAGATAAACTCATCACAATAATGTTTTTATACGTGTAGATTACACTATGAAAAGTGTATGTTTTTAAACATTTCTGAATGTGCATGCTTAATGTCGCTATTGCACCTAATATTTATCAAACTTGAGTATTTGTTGATCATGATTGATGGACAATAGTTCACTTTAAAAACGTACAAATGGCAAGAGGAACCCAAGATCAAAGCGATTATTTGGAAAATGTTTGTATGTTACGACTTTTTTTTCCCTTTAATTACATAATATATTGACAAGCACATGTATTTACAAAAATCATATATTGTATGACCTTGCTACAATTTCTTCAAGAAACTGCACTCACGAAAATAATTTTCCTCCATGAGTAAGCATAACCATGAATGTCCTTAAGTCAGAAAAAGAAAAAGAAAAAGAATGTTAATCTCATATTGAAAACATTGTAATAAAAACATGTGTAACAGGTGAGAATATATAGATTTATGTTTGCATTTTATGCCTGGAAACGGGTGCCACAGTTACAAGATAATGTTGCGACAAGCTCGAAATATATTACCCTAAATAAGCTGCAATCAAAGCAAACATGTATGTTTTCACTTGGCCAGACATCATGTTCAACCACCTCATATACGTCATCACTTAATGTTCCAGCAGTGCTGGTAAATTTTCAATAAACTTTTGAAGTCTTCAATTTCAGTCAAAATGATTAGACCGCCATACATGGCCAGGCTCGAAAATTGGACAAGTTAGCCAAACGCCACTAACCGAAAGTGACACATACTGGAATGACTTGGTACATTCTATTTTCTCCTTCCCACTCGGGTTAAATTTAGACAGATCATATCATAAGCGATCACGCTTTCCAGGAATCAGATAATATATTTTCCCAAATTAAGACGGAGGAAAAGCGAGAGTGTATGATGACCGTTTTTGACGGTGTAATT